GAGAGGCGGCGACTCATCGCGCTCGTCTGTCCAAGAGCCACAAGAAGGGGAGAAGATCAGGACGGCCGTAAAAGAGAAGGAATCCGGGTGCTGTTGCCTTGCAGCTCCCGATACTGGGAGAGGGTTTAGTGGAAAGAAGGTACATGTGGGTTTGGTCGCGTATCGGGTGTGGTAAGGGGTGCGGCGAGGGGGGAGTGGGAAGAGGTTTAGGGAGAGGTTTGAGGGAGGATGTTGTGGCGAAGTGGGGGGAGGGCGTGAAGGGGGTGGAGGGGATTCGGGACAAGATGGAGATTCGGTGGGTGGATGGGCGGGATGTAGGCATTGCGGAAGAGGATGTGGACGGTGCGAGGAAGCACTTCAAGGGGCTGAACGAGAACCGCGGCGCTGGAATGGATGGCTTGGTCGCCCCGGCGTTTCTGGTCGCTGACAAGAGCTCCGTTGAGTCGTATACCGGCGCTGCCTTTGCGACGCCAGATGATCCGGATTTCGGCCCGTTCATACTGGTTGGGAAGCTTGACGAAGTGGATCCGTCAACCCACAAAGCGCCGGGTTTTGAAGGGGCGGTCAGGGTGTTGGGGACGGTGTTGCTGGATGATGTTTGGCCGTCTCTGTGGTGTAGGCTCGTTTGTGTGGAGGATATGTGGAATCTGGCGACGTGGCATCCGCTGTCTATCTACGTGGGCTCGGTCGTGCACAGCCAGGTTGAGGGCTGGGATCATTTTCGGCAGCTCAGGGGTGAAGTGCCTAAATAAGGCTGTTCAGCGGCAGCGTGAGGATGAGCAAACCTAATGGGATTGGTAATGGCGAAAAAGCGCGTAAGGAACCATTGGCCTTGTATTATTAGGTAGAGCTACAAGAACGGTCACATAGATATGGGCCCATGATAGAATGAGACAGTCATGTATTGACGTCAATCACATTTTTATCTACAAGTAGTAATTACACCCCGCCGAGCAAGTCATTTAGTTCTTGCAATCCTTGCCCTTCCCCTTACCGTTGCCGTTCTTGCCCTTGCCCTTGCCGTCCTGGCCTGTCTCGTAGGTGGAGTCAATCTCGCCCCAGCGCATGTTGCTGAAGGTGACCTCCGGGGCGGGCTCGACCTTGACGATCTCGGAGGGGTGACCCTCATCCAGGTTGCAGGGGCCGGCCTCACCAGCGTCGAGCCAGTTCATGTTGCCGCCCTCGTCCCACCAGATGCTGAGAGCGAGAACCATGCCGCGGGTGAGAGCCTCACCCATGCCCTGCATGGCGCCGAGGCGCATGAAGGCGTCGGCGCCGGTGACAGAGCACAACTCGTCGATCATGCTGTCGGTGGAGGGCAGGCCGGGGGCGTCGACGACGTACGACTCGATGACGCGGCCCTCCTGCACGTACTTGCGGTGGATGGACTCGAGCTTGCCCTTGCGGTTGGCGTGGAACTGGGTCACGACGGTGACGAGCTTGTTCGAGTTGACCTTGAATTCCTCGCCGGCGCCGTAGTAGTCGGTCACGTTGACCCGGTACGGGTTCCACGCGCAGCCAGCCTTGTCGCACACGCCCTCCTTCTCGCACTCCGCGCCCTCGCAGAGGTAGGGACCCCTTCTTGTTGCCAGGGGTGGGGGGCGATGTGGTTGGCCCGCTTGTTGGCCCTCCCCAGATGTCCCATCTCGTTGCAGCACGCGCCCCTTACCCTCAACGTTGCCCTGGTTGTTGAGGTTAGCTTCTTGTACCTTCATCGCGGTTCTCATCCAAAACTTACGATGCCGTTGATGAAGGGGGTGATGTAGCACTGGGCGTCGCAGTACCCGGTGCCGAAGTAGGCGCCGCCAGGGTTGAGGGTGCTCTGGGCACCGTCGGCCTTCATCTCGGAGAGGTAGAGGGCGCTGTTCATGCCGCAGGGCAGCTTGGTGGCGTCCACGTCAAAGGTGAACTCGTTGCCGGTGAGCGAAAGCATCTCGTAGCGGCGCTTGGTCTCATCGAGGAGGTAGACGCGAGGGCTGACGAGCTTGCCGTCAAGCAGCTGCTGCAGACGGAGGCTGTCGCCGTCGGTGTTGATGCCGTACGCGCTGTAGTCCGAGACGGGGTCCATGACGCAGTTCTTGGCGCACGACTCCTTGTCCGGGCAGGCCGTGGCGTTGGGCTTTTGGCCCCAGTCACCGCAGCCGTACTCGTTGGTGGCCTGGTGAACGGGGTGGGCGAGCGCGTCCAGGACAATATAGTTGGTCTTCGCCTTGCACCCGCCGGCCTTGGTGCAACGGTAAGTGGTGATCTTGGGGTGGACCTCCTCGCCCTCACCGGGCAGCTGGCCGTTGACCGCGCCCAGGAGGAGCGAGGCCAGACCGAAGAGAGCAGCGCCGCGAGCCATTGTGTCGGATCTTGAGAACACGGGTAGTGAAACGCGTGTTGGGGAATGTCAAGGATGGACTGGGGAAGCAAAGGAAGAGGGCTCGAAGGGAAGGGGGAGGGGCCATCTCATATACTCCCTCGTTCCCCATATCTCCCACTCCGTCGGTTCGCCCTCCCCGCGTCCCCGGGACCACGATCTTGGATGCTCCGCACGGAATGGACCCCCGTCGGTGTCATCGCCAACCATCATTGGAGCGCCTTAGCCGTTTCGGTGCTGGTTCGGCGTGCGTTGGGATAAACAAGGCGGAAAACGGCCAGCGGGGCCGGGTTTCCGCCGCATGAAGACCTGCAAGGCACAGGGCCAAGTTCGATCTCGCCTGCCATGCGGCGCACGAGGGACGGCTCAGCGTTGGTCTGGCGTTCTTCTAGCGTAGCAACCTGGTGGTCCGCCAAGGCGGCCAAGGCGGTTCACGGAAATTGACGAGCCGAATTCCCACGTCTGGAATGGGGTTCGGGGATTGCGGGGAAGAAGTGGAGGGAAGAAGTCAAAATGGGCAAGCAGCTTCTGGACTTCGCCCCCAGCTGTCCTGTGGTTGGTGACCAAAGTGGTCTCGCCTCTGCGGGGGAAGGGGTCAAGATGCACGTTCAGGGGTTCACGTACCTGACTGGACTCCAACTCCAACAAGTGGAGGCCATGAACCATGCCACGAGCATGATTACAAGACACTTACCTAGCCGCGCGATTAATAACAATCTAGAAATGATCAACCAGCCGAGCCC